CTGAGAGCTTGTACTTCTTCTGCATCGCGCGGAGCTCCTTGAGATTCTCCACGGTGAAATCTGATTGGTGGAGGAGAGCGGCAGCAACAGACAAGTTGGTGACCGTACAAGGCAGTGTCCAACCGTATCGTCAGTGACTGAACGAATATAGGTTTTTGTCCTTTTTTCGTATCTTAGGTTTGATGTTTTAGCAGTACCAAACAGGGCGGGAGGAGCGAGGCGGGAAGGTGGACGGTGGGGGCTTGGGGAGTTTGTGAAGAGATAGATGCGCATAAAAAGTATTAAGGCGCCTAGCAAAAAGGCAGCTGAAATTCCCTTGGTGAGTCCAGCAGCGCACGATTTAAGAGGCGCCTTTTATACCAGGCAAAAGTGGGAGCACGCCCATTGTCGCTCACCTCCTTTAGTGGCGTCGAGCTGCGCCTGCAGCAGCGCCTGCGAGTTGTTGCGCACGGGAATGCGCTCAGCAACATACACACAGTCAAGCCCTCCGTGCCTGCACGATCCTACCACGCCAGAACCTCGCACTCACCTCCCTTAGTGGCGTCGAGCTGCGCCTGCAGCAGCGCCTGCGAGTTGTTGCGCACGGCAATGCGCTCAGCAACATACACACAGTCAAGCCCTCCGTGCCTGCACGATCCTACCACGCCAGAACCTCGCACTCACCTCCCTTGGTGGCGTCGAGCTGCGCCTGCAGCAGCGCCTGCGAGTTGTTGCGCACGGCAATGCGCTCAGCAACATACACACAGACAAGCCCTCCGTGCCTGCACGATCCTACCACGCCAGAACCTCGCACTCACCTCCCTTGGTGGCGTCGAGCTGCGCCTGCAGCAGCGCCTGCGAGTTGTTGCGCACGGCAATGCGCTCAGCAACATACACACAGTCAAGCCCTCCGTGCCTGCACGATCCTACCACGCCAGAACCTCGCACTCACCTCCCTTGGTGGCGTCCAGCTGCGCCTGCAGCAGCGCCTGCGAGTTGTTGCGCACGGCAATGCGCTCAGCAACATACACACAGTCAAGCCCTCCGTGCCTGCACGATCCTACCACGCCAGAACCTCGCACTCACCTCCCTTGGTGGCGTCGAGCTGCGCCTGCAGCAGCGCCTGCGAGTTGTTGCGCACGGCAATGCGCTCAGCAACATACACACAGTCAAGCCCTCCGTGCCTGCACGATCCTACCACGCCAGAACCTCGCACTCACCTCCCTTGGTGGCGTCGAGCTGCGCCTGCAGCAGCGCCTGCGAGTTGTTGCGCACGGCGATGTCGACCTGCGCGTCGCTCACTTTGAAGATGCGCTTCCACGGCAGCAGGAACTTGGACTTCTCGCCAAACACCAGATTCGACACGTACACCAGCTTCTGGAACGCCTGTGGTCGCGGGTGTAGTGGGGGATTGAGGGAGAGAGGGAAAGAAAAGAGTTAGATGCCTGGTAATCAGATCCCACGGCAGCAGGAACTTGGACTTCTCGCCAAACACCAGGTTCGACACGTACACCAGCTTCTGGAACGCCTGTGGTCGCGAACAGCGGGAGCGAGGAAGGTAGTGGCGGAGGAGATGGAGGAGGGGAGGGGGAGCGGAAGGGGGAGGAGGGGGGGTTAGGCGCCTAATAACAGGCCTTTACGACAGCAGGAGTTTGGATTTGTCGCAAAACACCAGCTACTGAAGGGCAGAGACCAGGATGAGGCGAGGACGATGGAGAGGGGAAGGTGGGTGGAGGGACGGAAGGTGGTGCCAGGGCATATCCCGATGCTTAAACCCCGAACCCTGGCATGACACCTCCATATAAATCCAACTGAAGTATCAGATCCTCTTTTGAATGGACCTACACGACGTGCGAGGCCTCACTCACGAGCTGTCGGATGCCACCCACCTCTCGGCGATGCCACTTACTCGCCACCTACCATCCACCCGCTAACAAGACGCTACCATCCACACGCGTACCACTTACAGACCTGCAAGACCACTTGCTCCTCTGCAAGCAACTCGCTCCTTCGCCCACCCTCGCTCCTTCGCCCACCCTCGCTCCTCCTCCCACCTCTCAATCCGTTGTCTGCCTATCAACCCTCACCCGCCTCGCAATCCTTCCGCCATCTCGCAATCCATTCGTCCACCTCGCGAAACTTCGCCTACCTGTCGCTCCTCGAAGGCGGCCTCCTTGTCGCCCGTCTCCAGCCTCTGGCGGAAAATGCGCCGCCCCACCTGCACACACCATGCACCCACGCGCATACATTCTCACACACATGTACACAACACACACACGCACAAATGCAGAAATGCACACATACACACACATCCGCACATGCACACGCAAACATGCATACATGCATACATGCACACGCACACATGCATACATGCACACGCACAACCACGCACCATGCACATGAACACACGCACATGTTCACACACAAGCGCAAGGGCCTTGAGTCCAAACACACGCACGAGCGGCTATCGGCGTGCGATGCCCGTTGGATTGCCACGAACAGTGATGCTAGCTGGATAAGAACAACGTCAGCTCGAAATGCTGTTAGTTCGATACGAGCAGCGGTGTGAGCTCGTTACAAGAAATCACTGTTAACTTGATACGAATAATGTTAGCAGCTCGACATAAACAGAGCAGGCGGCATAACTCGTTATAGGCAGTTGATGTATAATCAGTAAGAGAACAGCAATGTACTCGGTGTACGCAGTCCCGTACCTCGATATGAGCGGCAGCCGCATCCTCGTCCTCGAGGCCCATCGAAGCCTTGAAGCGGGAAATCAGATCCGACTCATCGCCCCTCAGTGGCTCGTTGCCGGGTGGAATCACGGACGACACAAATCTGGAGCGCAGGGGGAGAGGGGGAGCAAAAGAGAAGTGAGGACCGGAACGCGTCTCAGTGACTCGACACGAAAAACACACAGCAGGGGGTCCCAGAAGCCTCCTAGTACGATTTGTTCCCGTAAGTCTAATTTTGTTGTGTTGTGAGAAAACAAGGGACAAGGGGAAGGGAAGGAGGGAGCCGGCCTAGTGGGGAAAGGGTGGGAAGGAGTGAGGCAAGGAGATGCTTACTTTTCGTAGAGATCCTTCATTTCCGCCCGGTACCTCTCGTCCTCCAGGCTCACGCCATACCTGTAAAAGTCACAGAGGCGAACAAAGCAACGAAGTGTGAAATGTTGAGAAATTCTTACAACAATTCATAGAAACCATGTTCAGTAGATAGACATTGCTTCGCAATAAGAGGTACGACGGATTTGCAATATCCGACAGGTAAGACGCTTCAAATCCCAGCTCACTTATTTGCAATATCCGCAGCCTCGCCTCGTCTCAGTTGAAGAGGATCCGATAAACGCACAAGCGTGTTGTGCAAATCCGCCGCAGCGACCTCCTTACTAGCCGAGTTCACCACGTGCGCGGCTCCTGCGCCAAGCGCGCCGAGCACCACGGCACCAGCCACCTGTCCCACAGGCGGCTGAAACTTGCTGCCGGCCGCGAACCCCACGCCGGCAGAACCGACGATAATTGCGCCGCAAACGGCGTATCTAACCGGCGTCGGCATGCTCTTAACGACACTGGGAACGCCGGTGAGTTCGACCTCCCGGCCGAAAACGCTTCCGCTGGAGTTCCTGCTGGGAGTAGCATCGGCCTGCTCTGCTGCTGCTGCACGGACTAGGGTTTTGCTCGACGCGCTGCGCCATTGCTGAGCTGGCAACGACGTGGCGGAAAAACTCTGGCGGGAAGGCGTTTGCGTGGCACGAAGGCCTTGAAAGCTCGGAAGCGGACGCGTTGTGCTTCCTTTTAGGAGGAGCGACTCCATGCCTGTTAACTGCCCTTCCAATAGAAGCTAAAGAGACAGTCGACGAACGGAACAATCTTTAGCTTGTTAGGGCACTGCAGAGTACGGTAGCGAGGCTAATAGGGTGTGATACCGTTCTCAGCAGCAACCCGACGATGTTCGCTAGGCGAAACAGAGGAGAGAGGTAGACAAATGAGTGATGAAGCAGATAAGAAGGTAGCGAAATTAGAGTTCTACGCTTGGAAATAACTTTCCTGTACGGTGGGGGGGATTTTTGTGCGCTTCAGACATTACACGGTATGGTGGAAAGGTTCAAAGCTTCCTGCCTCGGGATTCTCCCAGCCACTCGCTGCCTTGATTTTGAGCTTTGATGGTGACAGAATGATACTCGTTTCAAGCTGGTTCGTCGAGCTCATACAATCGCAATCGCCAAGGAGGCGCTATCCTCACCAACTTTACTGGAGCCCGAATCCCTGGATGCCATGTCATGGATGGGGAAAGGGGTTGGAGGAACTGTCAGAAGCTGCCACGTGGATGATGAGACAGTGCGGCTGCGGGTGACTGCTTCATACGCGCTAATGCATTTTGTAATTGTGCGAGTTATCATCAAATGTCATATGCTGAGTTTCTTCACTGTATCAACGGCTGAATGGTGATGGTATGGGAAGCCGTTGTGCAGTGGTTCGCGTAAATATTTGGCGCAAGCGCAGAGGGAAGTTGGCACGCCGCCGCAACCACATCGAATCGCCCCCACGCCGAGAAGGGCCCGCACAAAACACTTAGCGGGGAGTTTGCTGGTTTGGCGCGGAAATGTGGGACATTTTTCAGCTTGGGAGCCCCTTGGGATGGGATGGATGGGTCCCTAGAAATTTGACATTTTCAACTTTCTAGGCTCCTAGAAAATTGTTCGCTGCTTGCCAGCCCTTCAAGTTACCATCCATGGTCCTATCCGCATTCCCCTGTATGGTGTCAGCTACGGACATGGGCCTTGAAATTGCCGTTCTTCTCTGTGAGCCTTTATCACTCGAGCAGTTGCTAAGCTAGTTGGTGAAATAGGCTTGTCTGGCAGAAGATACGTGGTGGTCCTCGTCTCCTAGGCCAACTACCAGCGTATTGCGAGCAGCTGTTGCACGTTCTCGCGTTTGCCCAATTGTGTCTCAGCTAATGCTGGTACGCCGCTTCGTACACTACTCTCGATGGTTTTCGAATAATTCAAGCCTAGCCGCGAAATGGCGGTGACTGGTAACAAGCGAGGCCATGCTGGCAACATCGCATTCGCGAGCGTCGACAGCGCGAGGAAGAAGAAATGCGTCGACATCCACTCCCTCCTTACCGTCACGAAACCATTATCTGCTCAGGCTTTAAGCCACGCAGCCAAGAAACAGACGAACCATACGAACGCGTCAGGCAGCGTTCCCGTAAAATTAAGCGAAATTCGCAACGGAAATGCGACGGGACGAGGAATCGCACAGACGCGACTTGCGATAGAAAGAGGAGGGCTTGTCGACAAGACGACGTGGACGTTCAAGCCCACTTTGGAGACACGAGAGAGGGCGAGTGGGAGCAACCGTGGATCCAAGAGAGTCAACGGAGAACAGCGAGTGGTGGAACTGGCAGAAGACGACGACGAGCTGTACGAAGATGTAGACGATGTTACCGAGTTACACGGCCTGGATGTGATCAGAGAAGCCGGATCGTCGCAGGACGACGAGGAGGACAGCGACTATGAGAACGAGGAGAACAGTGACGATCAGAACGAGGGGGGCCTTGGCGATGAGAACGAGGGGGATGTGGAGGAGGTGGTGGTGGTGGAAGGAAAGGTGCGAGGGGTGAAACAGCAGCTTCACGGAAGCGACCGCTGCACCGGAGTAAACTGCTCTCAGCCGCTTGCAGACGCTGGGCTGGACGATTTGAAGTGTCACGTGTGCGGCCGGGAGGACGGCGAAGACGGAATGCTTGTGTGCGACGGACGTGGGTGTAACCGTGGTTACCACCTCTGGTGCCTGCGACCAATCCTCGTCGCTGTGCCCCTCGGCCAGTGGTACTGCCCCGACTGCCGCCGCCCAGCCAAAATCAGAGGTACGGGTTTTGCACGCTTCCGCCTCCCTTCTAGTTGCCCGTCTCACACACCCACTCCTCTCAACCCTTTCACACCCCTCTCCCTCCTCTACTCACTCCCTTCCTCTCTGACGTCCCCCTCTCCCGCCGCTCCGCCTCCCCCAAAACCGTCCTCTGCGGTCCCAGAATTTCCCCTGGTGCAGAGCTCAATCGTCGACTTCTTCCGCATTCAGCGCCCCCCTGACCTCTCACCTGAGACAACACCTGCCGTGGCAGGCGGAAGCGCCACCAAACCTGATGTAACCCCTGCCAATAGGCCACCTGGAAAGAAACCTGTCGTGGCGAAGAACAGCGAGGGAGATAGTAGCGGACAATGCAGCGGAGTTACCACACGGCGAACAGAGCACAGCCGACAAGCATCAAGCGGCGTCGTACTGGTTGCTGGTGATGCGGCGGCTGAGAGTGGTAGGAATAGAAACAGCGGCAGCGCAGACGCTGACTGTAGGAGCGTAGGAGCTAGTCGAACTCGCGTCGTAGGTGCTGCTAGAATTAGCATAGGCGGTAACGCTAGGACTGACATAGGTGCTAACGGTAGGGAAGTAAGTGCTAACGCTAGAGACCTAGTAGTAGGTGCTAGTAACATTAATAACGCAGGCGCTCCTGCTAGTAGCCGTTTGAGCGCCTGCAATGGTAGCTTGTGCAAAACAAAGCGCAGCAGCACTACCGGCAGAAGCGCAACGGCTGGTGGTGGCAGTGATAATGGCGGGAGTGGGAACGGGAGCATAGTTACAGACACTGACGGCTGTAGATTAACTGCTAACTCAGGCAACGGCAGCATCGCTTCCCACTTCAGCAACAGCGGCGCGAAAAAGAGAGTCCCAAACAGTGGCAGCAGTGGCAGGAGGAAGAGGCAGACCCGAGTGAAGCTGAGCAGTAAGCTGTTCCCGCATCGGCCCGACCCGGACCCAGAGAGACGCCTGGAGCAACTGAGGTCCCTGGCCACCGCACTGACTGCTATTGGGGCGCGGTTCGTGGATGGGCTGGAATACCCCTTTAAAGCCGTGCCTAGGGGGATGAACGAGCCTGGGAGGGAGGTGGGGGGGATGCAGGTGCTGAGTCGGGAGAACGTGGGTGTTTTGGAGCGGTGCAAAGAGATGTGGAGGAGTGGGGCGCCTCCACCGCTGATCGTCAAACACGACCCTTGCCAAGGGTAAGTTTGCTATAAATAGTAATTGGGTCTACCGTAAGTACTTTCCACACCCCGTCCCCACACCTCACCCCCGTTTCCACTCCCCCCTTCCTTCCCTTTTTGGCAGCTTTGTAGTGGAAGCGGATGCGCCAATAGCGGATCGCACAATTGTCACGGAGTATGGGGGGGTGGTGGACAGCATGGCGCGGAGGCGGCACGATCCGTGCGATGCCATGATGGGGTTACTGTTCACGGGGCGGGATAAGACGGATCTCGTCATCTGCCCGGATCGCGCGGCAAACTTTGCCCGGTTCATCTCGGGAATCAACAACCACACCAAGTGAGTCGGCTGTGAGACAATGGTACCCGAGTGACCGAATTTCCTGGCCTTCTGTGTATGAGTCTTCTGTCTTCATTCAAAAGCCCTTCTTAGTATACTGCCCCCCAAAGCCCCCCCGAGCGCAGTCCTTTGCTGCTGTCCCTCGTTATTGCTCCCTCCGCACTCGCCATTTGCCGCTCATTTTTGTCACCTTGTTTGTCCCCTTCCCTTTTTTCCCCCCTGCTCTTCCAGAGAGGGCCGCAGTGACATGAATCTGTGCAGTGCTCCCTCCCCAGTGTGAAGGGGGGGGGAGCACTGCACAGATTCATGTCCCCCCTTTTGGGGGAACTTAGTCTCGCCGATACCCAAAAGGGCATCGACTCACTTGCCAGCACCTCGATTCTCCCCTCCCCTGCCTTATGTCCCCTGTTCCTCCAGAGAGGGTCGCAGGAAGATCAACCTACGCTGTGTGCGATTCAGTGTGAATGGGGAGGCACGGGCTTTGCTGATTGCCACCAGGCGAATCGCCAAGGGGGAGAGGCTTTACTACGACTACAACCGGCTCGTGCATGAATACCCCACCATGCACTTTGAATGACTGCAGAAACGAAACGATTTACTGATGCGCCTCTCGAGTCTCCAAGAGCGGTGGTAGTCTGCATTGTGGTTAAGAAGCACAACTGGCTGGTGAATGAGTATCCCACCATGCACTTTGACTGACAGCACAAGTGATTGCCTCTCGAGTCATCAAGAGCGGAAGGCTGTACTGCACGGTGCGACTACAAGAGGCTGGTGCATGAGTATCCCACCATGCACTTCAAAGCACTGCACACGCGATTTTTTAGGCGCAGCGAGTCACCGAGGGTGGGAGTCTTCATTATGGTAACAAAGCTCAGTGTGTGTGTGCGCCTTGAATGCTGTGTTGGGCGTTTCTTCTTAGGGTACATTCCTGTGTGGGCATTTGTGTCTCAATCCTTTTGTGACGCGTAAAAACAGCATAAAAACAGCATAAAACAGCTATCAAAATACCGTTTCAAACCTTGACTCTGACCACCTGAGCTCGAGCCTGGAAACCTGGAATCCCAAGCATTTCGAATGAGACTTGTTATGCCTTGCCATACACCACAAACGTTCCAGAACAGAACGCCATCCCTTTCAATCGGTAGGTGTGTTGTGTCAAATGTTATAGCCCTTAGTGGGTAATACCATATGGGGTACTAACAGTTAGGGTTAGGTACTTGTACCCCAACTCAATCAATGCAAGCCATTCCGCTGTGTTTAGTTACTGAGATGGTATCAGCAGTAGGTTCGCCGTTCCTAGGCCACAACCTGCGCCGTTCCTAGTCTTAGGCCGTCACTAGCCTGCGCCCTCGCCGTCGACCTAGCCTGCGCCCTCGCCGTCGCCCTAGCCCGTCTACCCCATACGTACTAGCCCGCAGGCCCGCCAGCGCGCACGCCAGCGCCCTAGCCAGCGTGCCGCACCAACACACACGCCAGCGCGCACGCCAGCGCGCCCCGCCAGCGCGCCACGCCAGAGCGCACGCCAGTGCGCACGCCAGCGCGCCACGCCAGCGCGCACGCCAGCGCGCCACGCCAGCGCGCACGCCAACCCGCCACGCCAGCGCGCACGCCAGCGCGCCACGCCAGCGCGCACGCCAGCGCGCACGCCAGCCCGCTACGCCAGCGTGCACGCCAGCGCGCCACGCCAGCGCGCACGCCAGCGCGCACGCCAGCGCGCACGCCAGCGCGCCACGCCAGCGCGCACGCCAGCGCGCCACGCCAGCGCGCCGCGTCGCCGCGCCGCCCGCCAGCCAGCGCGCCACACCGCCCGCCCACTTGCTTGCCTTCACGCCTGCCCACGCGCCACTGACTGTCTCACCCTCCCGCGGCTGGCAGCCGCGCTCTCTCGTTTTCGACCCTCATGGCGACCTCTCGAGTACTTCGATTTGACCATGAGGGGAGACCGATCGAGTTTAGTACGTGGCTTACGCAGGCGCAGCGCCACCTTAAGAGCCAGCGGCAGGATGGCGTGCACCTGTTCGCACACGCGTCCGGTACTCAGACCGCCCCTCCTCAGCCTAGGCCGCTGCCCACCACCCCGTCGCCTACTCCTGAGCAGGAGGCCGAGTACCAGCGCCAGTTTCTTGCTCGCGCGCGACGTCTGGGAGTCTCGTGACGCCGCTGCCTGCCTCGCCCTGACCGACCTTCTCCCACCGACCGAGGCAGTCCACTTCACTCAGGTCGAGTCCGCTGCAGATCTGTATAAGGCTATTGTTGCTCGCTACTCCACTCCCTCCTCTGCCTCACTCAGTCGCCTCCTTTGAGACTGTCTCTGACCTCACTGCCCACCTGCGCTCCCTTGACACTCGCTTTCGTGCTGCTTGCACTGAGGACCAGCTTGCCCTTGCCCCGCCCCCTATGTGGCTCACCATTCACTGGCTAGTCACTCGCCTCCCTGACCGCCTAGCCACAGCCCGCGACGCGCTTCTTCTGAAGCATCCCACTGAGCTTACCATCGATCTTCTTGAGACCGCTCTCTCGAAGATCGAGAGTAACCTCCTCGCAGTTGCCTCTGCCTCCTCAGCACCTCCTCCTCGTCTTTTTGAGGGGTGTGCGGTACCACAGCTTCCCACCTTCACTGCCTCCCTTGCCATCCCCGCGTCTTCTGCCTCTGAGGAGACGGCGGCTGTTTCTGTCTCTGGCGGACAGAAACGTGGCAAGGCTAGCAAGAAGGGAGGGAAGGGCGGGGGTACTGGGGGTGGTGTGGGTAGTGGTGGCGGCGGTGGGGTGGGTGGTGGGAGTGGTAGTGGGGGTGGCTCGGGCCCTGACGGTCCTCCTCTCGACGGTGGAGTTATCACTGGTGGTGGGGGTTTCCCGCAGCAGCAGCAGCCGACTTCTCAGCAGCTGCCACAGCTTGGACAGCAGCAGCAGCAGGGACCGCAGCAGCAGCGACAGGGCCAGCAGCAGCGCCCACCGCAGCAGCAGCCTCAGCAGTGGGGGCCTCCGCAGCAGTGGGGCCCTCAGCAGCAGTGGAGGTCTGTGGGTCCCCCGAGCACTGGGCGCAGTGCCCCCCCCTCCAGTCGGGGACCTCGCTCGGCCGGCCGCGACGTTGGTCCCTGTGAGTACTGGATCCTTACGGGTCCTCGACGGGACTCGTACTGTGGCCGCCCCGACCACTCTGCTGCACGCTGCTTCAGTCGTCTCGACGACCTTTACCGTTTCCACCACGGCCCCTCTGCTCCCCCGCCGCCACGCTGGGGGACGCTTCTTGCTCGTGGCATTGCTGTTTTTGATATGACTATGGATGATGCTAGGTCTTATGCCATGTATGCTGATGTTGACTATAGTGCTCCTGGATCTGTGTACTTGCCTGTTGCTAGAGTAGGTGCCAGTGTAGGATCTTGTTTAGCTACTAGTACAGGTACTCCCTCGGCGGACGCGTCTCTCTCCTTCACACTGGACTCAGGAGCGTCGCACTGCTTCTTCCGCGACTGCACGACTCTCTCTCCGCTACCGGCACCTGTCCCTGTAGCACTGGCCGATCCCTCCTCGGGACCGGTCATTGCGACTCACGCCACTACACTCCCGTGCCCAGCTGCTCCTTCTGGTTCCCTGACCGGCCTCCACGTTCCTACGTTCTCTAGGAACCTGGTTGGTGTGGGCACCCTGGCGAGACAGCACGTCGGGGTCTGGGTTGAGCCTTCTGGTGACACCGCAGTCTGCGTCGACGGTGACACGTACGCCCCCTTGGCCACTTTCCGCCAGGAGCTTTCCGCGCCGTCCCCAGCTCCTCCGTGTGGTCCTTGTGTCCAGGGTCGGCTTCGCGCCACCCCCCACTCCTCCTCCCTTCGTCCGGCCACCGAGCCCTTCCAGACACTCCACTTAGACGTCTGGGGCCCCGCCTCCCGCCTTGGCCCTGAGCGGGAGAGTTTCTTTCTGGTTGTCGTTGACTCGGTACACCGCCGTGTTCCCCTTGGCGAAGAAGTCCGACGTGACTTCTACGCTGATCCGGTGGCTCCTCGCCACCGAGGGCACTCGTGGTCGTCGTGTCAGTTGTCTCCACTCCGACCGTGGGGGTGAGTTTCGCTCCGGCATTCTCGCCAGTTTCTGTGCTGAGCAGGGCATCACCCAGTCCTGGACTCTCCCAGACTCTCCACAGCAGAATGGGGTTGCTGAGCGCCGCTTAGGCCTGGTCATGGAGATCGCCCGCACCTCCATGATCCACGCCCGCGCGCCCCATTTTCTGTGGCCCTACGCGGCTCGGTACGCCGCTCACCAGCTGAACCTCTGGCCTCGCGTCTCTCGGCCAGGGGCTTCACCGACCAGTCTTTGGACAGGGTCCCCTGGTGTTGCGTCGAGGTTTAGTGTCTGGGGCTGCTTGGCTCTTGTCCGCGACACCTCTGCGGACAAGATCTCGCCTCGCGCCGTCCCCTGTGTCTTCCTTGGTTTCCCAGAGGGCTCCTCTGACTTCACCTTTTACCACCCACCCTCCCACCGGTTCTTTGACTCTCGTGACGTCCGTTTCGACGAGTCCGTCCCCTACTACGTCAGGTACCCCTCTCGAGGTCTCCCGGTTCCCCCCCCTCCCCTCTTCCTGGCTCCAGCTCCTCCTCCTCCCGCCCCTGCTCCTCCGGTACCCCCCCCTGGTCCTGCTCCGTCTGGTGTGTCCCACGCTACTCCCCCCCCCTCGGTACCCCCCCAGGTCTCTCCTCCTTCCCCACAGTCGTCCTCACAGCCTCCGCAGCAGCCGTCAGCGCTTCCTTTACCGGCCACTGCGGACTCTGAGGGTGTTGGTGCTCGGGGTGAGGGCTCTGGCGGTGCTCGCTCTGGGGGTGCTGGCGTTGGAGCTGTTCGTGCACCTACAGGAGCCGCCCGTTCTGGGGGTGTTGGCGTTGGCGCTGAGCGTGCACCTGCCGCGGCTGCCCGTTCCGAGGGTGCTGGAGCTGGTGGTGGTGCTGGAGCTGGTGGTGTTTCTGGAGCTGGAGAGTCTGAGGCTGGTGCTGGTGCCACTGGAGGCACCCCGACTGGGGGTGCGGGTCCACCTCCTACAGGTGCTAGTCGTGCTGCCGCAGGGGGTACACGCTCTGGGGGTTCTCAGCCGGGTGCTGTCGAGGGCGGAGCCGGTTCTTCTTCTTCGTCTCCTGACACCACTCCTCCTCCTCACCCCTACCTGACTCGACACCAGACCCGTCTTCGTCTTGAGCGTGAGGAGCAGCAGCGTTTGGAGCGTGAGAGGTTGGAGGTTCAGCAGCGGGTGGAGCGTGAGAGGCTGGAGTTGCAGCGGGAGCAGCAGCAGCAGCAGCAGCAGCAGCGCAGCAGCAGCAGCAGCAGCAGCAGCGGCAGCAGCAGCAGCAGCAGCAGCAGCCGCCGCAGCAGCCGGAGCAGCCTCCGGCCTCTGTTACTGGCCTTCGGGCCCTTGGTCTCCCCTCCTCCTCTCCTCCTGTGTTCGGTCCGACGTTTCCTCCTCCGGACTCAGCTCCGGCTGTGTTCCCTCGTTCTCAGTCTCCTCCGTCTCCCGCTCCGTCTCCCACTCCTCTCTCCCACACTTGGGCCTCTCGTCCTCCTCGTGCTCGTCCCTCGTCACCTGCCTGTGACCTT